GCCCCGCCCCCAGCCCCGCGCCTCCCCCCGGGCCGCCGCCCGCGCCGGCCGCCTCCGCCTCAACGAGCAGCCCGTGCACGACCTGGACACCGTGCTGAAGGTGGGTGCCCTCCCTTCCCCCCCGAGGGCCAGGTACAGCCCGGGCTGCGGGCCCAGGGAGGGGGCCTGGCGCAGCCTGAGGGTCGGGCACCTCCCGGCACCCTGGGGAGCTGCTGGTATGCCAAAATGGAAAACCGCAGGGAGCGTTTCCTCAGTCAGCAGGTTGCGATTAACCCCGTGGCGGTACTAAAGGCTGTGATGTTGAAAGGGAATTAGGGAAGCCTTATCCCAGTGGGGTCAGGAGTACATACATCTGTTCCCTGTGGCTCTGCTCTTTTGGCCAGCTGTACGGAGCCAGAGTGCCCTATAGCTTCCTGCTCAGCATCTTGAGAACATGGTAGGCGTGGCGCATGAATTTAAATGGGTTAACGTGCTGAATCATTGTACTAAATAGTGGTTTCTAGGATAATTAGGCTTTCATTTGCTCCCCAAGTTCAAATCTCTATTGTGCGTAGCCAAACAGGGTGGTTAGGTTGGGCAGACTCACTCTAATCACGTCTTTCTTGCAGAATAATGATTTTCTCAGGAATACAGTGCATCGTCATGAGCCTCCAGTCACTGCCCAGCCTATCCAAATCTTGGTGGAGGATGACAGCGTGGTAGTTGTAGACAAACCGTCCTCCTTACCAGTACATCCATGTGGCAGGTTTCGTCACAACACCGTCATCTTCATCCTAGGCAAAGAGCATAATCTGAAGGAATTGCATACAATTCACCGACTCGATCGCATGACTTCAGGAGTACTGATGTTTGCCAAAACTGCAGAGGTGTCCAAGAGGATTGATGAGCAGGTTCGGCAGAGACAGGTGAGAACTAAAGGTTGTGGGGGGTCTCTTTTGTGACACCTTCTTGAAATGGGTTTGGTCTAAAGTCAGCTACATTTTGGTCTGAACAAGCCCAAGTTCCCAGAGCAGCCTCTGGTCATCCTCATGTTCTTATTGCAGGAAGCATGGGCGGTGTCAAGAAGGAAAGACTGAGCAAAAACTTACTTGATTTTGATAGTGCTAAACTGAATGACTCCCTTCCCAAAGGGATTATGCTAACTGGCTTAGTTAGAGGGCAGTTTTAATTATCATTAGAAATCTGTCAGTCACTTAATACTTTCTTCAATTTTAAAAGATTTACAAGTTTTTCCTAATTTTTCCAGTGATTCTCAACCCGAAAGAACCATAGCTGAGGGGTGCTATCCTCTAGGATTTGCTGCAAGGCAGTGAAACAAACGTCACAATAAAGCACACTGAGAGATGACTCTTGAGTTTAAAATGAGGAAAATAGGCCAGGCTCTTACGTTTTCGAATTCCTATCTGGTTGGAGAACAAAGAAAGAGTGAGAGAAATTTGGGTTTAAATAGATGATTTTTCCTTTTTGCTGTTCAGCTTTGGGAATACCCAAAACTCTGGGAATAGCTTGCCTACAGATGTACTTCAGTGAAGAGGAAGAGATGACTAAATGGGATGAGAGTCCATGTAATGAGGATAGAGACAGTTTTCTGTTATGTTTTCTAAGGAGTTTTTCCTAACGCTCTTTTTTTTTGTTTCTCCTCATAGCTGGAAAAGGAGTATGTCTGCCGTGTGGTGGGGGAGTTTCCAGAAAACGAAGTGGTCTGTGAAGAGCCCATACTGGTTGTTTCTTACAAAGTGGGAGTGTGTCGTGTGGACCCCAAAGGGAAATCCTGCAAAACCATCTTCCAGAGACTCAGTTACAACGGGAAAACCAGTGTAGTCAGGTGTCTTCCACATACTGGCCGCACCCATCAGATCCGGGTACACTTGCAGTACTTGGGATATCCTATTGTCAACGACCCTATCTATAATATGAGAGCCTGGGGTCCTGAAAGAGGCAAAGGTGGCAAGATTGATAAAACAGATGAAGAACTCCTGAAGGCACTAGTAGAGGAACATCGTTCCAAACAGAGCCTGGATGTTTTAGGTATTTCAGAGGAGGACTTGAGCCCCAATGCAGAAAATAAAGAATGTGGTAATTCAAGTGACTGCATGGAATCTGTGCAGGTTGATCCTATAAATGGGAACTCTTGTCCTGCTGAGGACACTAAGGATCCAGAGAGAGGTGAAATACCAGCTTGTCTACAGAACTCTGATACCAACCTGGAAACACTTGAAAAAAATAAACAAAGTAGTTCGTGTGAGATTTGGGATGGGCCAGTGGGAGAGAGAGGTTCAGAAGAGAAGGACCCTTTATGTGTGGAGTGTAAAATTACAAGGCGGGACCCATCTCCTAAGGAGCTGGTGATGTACCTGCATGCCTTGCGCTATAAGGGAGCAGAATTTGAGTATTGCTCCAAGATGCCTGAGTGGGCAATGGAAGACTGGGAGGAATGACAGAGGAACTTTGACATCTATGGACACTGTTCTAGCATGGCCAGAAGAGAGTGTCTTGCAAAGACCTAAGTATGCTTGATAGTAAAAGTAACAGTTCTATTTGAGATAGGGTGGAAAAACTTGTTGAGGCCTGAGAACTGTTCTGACTGCTGATAGGTACTTAAAAGATGAGCAGGAAGTCAGGGCTACAATGCTAGAATTATGTTTCCTTTTAGTTAACTAACATTTCTGTGCAACAGTCATCACAATCATCACTTGGTATGCTTGAAATTCGTCTCCTCCCCTCCTGCTCCAATGTATTTTGGGTCTGTTTTCAGTTACCCACACAGATAAAGTGCATACACTTAAAATCAAGAGCTGATTTCCTTCCATCTTCATATGTAATGTTCTTGTATCTTAGAATAAGAACTGCTGGAATGTTGTTCCACTTCATGGATATCATGTCGTACAGAAAATTGCTTCTACTTTGATTTGTCAGGTTGTTTTAAAACCAAAACATTAAAACTGAGGACAAAATAAGGTAAAACCAAAGCACCGTGAAGCCGATTCATTCCTGGCAAGATAATTCTTGTTGAAGTGTACATAGCATTATGTTTTTTAGTGTATGGTTATTGTCTGTAATGTTCCCATTCTTCTGTTAGTGTTTCCATTTTTGATAGACTTTGCTTTGAAGTTACTCTTTCAGAATTCCTTCAAATAATTACTTAAGATTAGGAGCTGAAGGGTTGCTTCATCTATGCTTCAGTGTGACAATAGGTTTTAAAGAGAAACAAAAGCAGTTTTACAAACCAAGAGAGACTTTTTTTCTTTTCTTTAAGCACTTTGTAGTAATGTGTTTCCAGGATGATAAATACCACTATAGTTACTCTTTTCATCTATGTGTATAGGGTCATTTCTTGGCCTCTGAGTGAGTTGTTATAATAATTCTGTTTTAGGTTCCTTTTTTTTCTTATGCATTGTCAGTAGTAATGACCAGCTATAGTGACTGCAGCAGACAATCAGAACCTTTACCTGGGAAGAATCGTATTTCAGGTCAACCTGCAGACAGTGGAATCTCTCTACCTGTTGTTCTGCTTCCACAGCTCTGCACACCCATTTCTACATATGGTACTTGCACAGGGTTCTGCATTTCTAAAATGTTTAAAGAAACATTTTTAAAGATGTAGGAAAGTCTGGAGGACTTGGTGGTATTCAGTGGGTGGGGCAACAGCCTTGCCGGAGTGTGTTTCAGGCTCAGATGCTCTCTCCTTATGCTGTGTCCTAGGGAGCTCTAGCCATCTCAGCCCAGCAAGACACATTTTTTTTTATACACCTCTTCTATTACCAGTTTGCAGTCTATTTCATACAGCTTATTGGAAGAAACCCTGGCTTCACAGGTGCCCATGAGTAGGGTGCTGGGGACAGCAAGCACTCCAGGCCTAAGGTTTGCCAGCCCTCCAGGAATGACTACCTTCCTCCTTGGCAAGGCCCCTAGAATCACTTATCAATATCCACAGACGTTACCAGTAGAGGGACCTGTGTACAAAAATCGAATAAACCATTGCTTATTTCTGCTAAAAGCCCAAAGTCACCAAGTGATTTATTTTTGCCCTGTATTGTCCTGCTGATGTGTTGAAGGTTTCTGTAGGAGTCATTCAGACTCTTCCACATCCTGCCAAGGCTCTCTAGTGATTTTAATTTAACCACAGCTCCCTGCCACCGTGTATTAAGGTCTAGCCTAGTATTAATTGCAGGCAGCTTGTTGAACAAGCGAGGTAAAAGCTCTCCTGTGGCTGAGAGATGACACTAAAAACTCGGTGCCTATTTTTTTCATACACCAAAATACATACTTCATGTAACAGTGTAAATGAAACTTGTGCACATTCAGAATATAAATAAGGCTGTGTGCAGCTGTTACTAGCTTTAGGCAGCAGGGGAAGATAGTAAGTTTTGAGGCAACTGAGTTTTAAATGGGGCTTTGAGGTATACAGTGATGCATCCCAAATTATATCCTCTGTGTAAGGAGCAAGCTTCTGAAAAAGATCTGCTGACTGTTGTGCCAACAGATGAAGATTGGATGGCTGAAGGGCCTAATAAGGAACTGCAGCTTGTTGCTGTTGTTTTACTCTTTTGGGCAATGCATAATTGCTGCTTTTAAATTACTGTGATGCACCTTACTGGTCAAAAAATGCTGTGACTGCTGTTTTCAAGATACTTTGAGCTAGTGAAAGTAGTGAACTAGTGAAAGTTTAAGGTCGATTTCACAAGGGTCCTGCTAGCAGTTGCATCATATTTCATTTCATTTGAATTCAAAGCCAGTGGTTCCACATGGCACAGTAGCCAGATTTCTGCAGCTGGTATGTGCTATGGCTTGCCTTTAGGAACGTGCATGAGAAGTCAGTTTTGCATTTTGCAATAGGGAAAGTGTTGCTATTAGATATGTCCTGTGATTTAACTATCGAAGAGCAGTTCTGTAGTAAATACTGTGTCCTGCCTGGGAACTTTGCTATGCCTCTACCCAGTCATTGTGCTGGAAGCCTAATATGTAGGACTGAATCAGAATTAACCCACAAAACAAGGCCAAGAGACTTAGTCTTCCTTGGGGTCACACTTGGCAGCCTTGTTTTAACCAGCCCGTTATGGGGGGGCATTTGCTGGGATAGAGTCATGATCTGGCTATACTTTGCATAGGTTTAAATATAATCTAATTTCTGCAAGGATTTAAGTGTAGTTAAGTCTGCGTGGAGGGTTTGCAGAACTGTTCCAGTGAATTACTATGTGGAAGGTCCCTTTTAATAGTTGTAATTATGTATTTAAGCTGTTGAGCAGAACAGTCTCGAGGGGGCTCTTTTGTTCCATTAACTTCTTGTTTTGAATTTTTAAAAACTAACTATTGGTGGATTATGTGAAGAGGACCAGTTGCTCTGGTCTCTGAGATTATGCTTTTAAAATCTTAACTTCAGTAAAAATGAGGCCAATTGCAGTAATCACTTTTTTAAAGCAAGCCTTGATGTAATTTTCAGTGAGGAGCTGGGATTAATTTGGCTGGAACCCCCTCAACCCCTGATTTTGCAAATACTATTTATCCTGAGATCCTACTAAGGATTAGGTTAATTTGTATAAAACAACCTGTTTGGGTTGCAAAAGAGACTCATAAATTGTTTGTTCCCAAAGGCTTCACTACTTGCAATTTCAGAGCATGGTAGATTTCTGAGGGTCTTTGGATCGGACCCAATAGAGGGAATGGGTTTAAGAGCCTGGACAGTTCACCGAGCCCAGGAGTCCAAATCATAAGCAGAAGAAATGCTCATTTTCCTTCATGGAAGGCCCCTTATTTGCTGTGTGTCTCCTTTCCAGGTCTGATTGCTTCCAAGGAGTCCTAGGTTATGTGCAGACCTCTCCCTAACCTTCTGTGCAGGCAGAGATCTGGCTGCTCTTTTAGCCCCGCAAGGATCTGGGAACCAGGATGCAGTGAAACGTAAATTCCAGGGGATGTCTGACATGGGGATGGGCATGCAGGTGGGCTTTCCTAACCCACCCTGGCCCCAGCGGCAAGGACACAGTGTGTGGCAGCAGCCAAACTCCGCTAAGAGTTTCTATCTCCAGCTAGGAGAGCAAGGGAAGGTGTCTACAGCGATTTATTTAGCAAAGAAAATCCTTGTCTGAAACGCTAAGTTGCTTTAAAAATACCCCCTCCCCTCTATCCCTGAGCTGATACTCTCCCAATTGAGATTAAAGCATGAACCCGTCCAATCTTTTTTTAAGTTGATTGGAATGGGAAAGGTTAAGTTAGAGGTGTTAAATACAAAGAGGTGGCCTCTGGCCCTAGAGAGCCAGGGCCACAGCCTAGGGGACGCAGGAGGGGTATCGCTGGGGGACACAGGCCCATTTGGGGCACAATCCAGGGGGATTTCCCCGCGGGATGCAGGTGGCACCGGGGCTGCCCCAGCGGCCGAGCAGGGCTGGGGCAGAGCTGGCCGCGGCTGCGGCGGGGGCCCATGCCGGTGCGGCG